CTTTTTCTTGCCATTTCCACCATATAAATTCTCAATTATTTGTGCTTTTGTTTTGCCACTTCCTTCATTTAAATTCTAAATTATTTGTGCCTGTTCTTGCCATTTCCATCACATAAATTCTAAATTATTTCTGTTTTTTCTTGCCATTTCCATCACATAAATACCAAATTATTTATGCTTTTTCTTGCCATTTCCATCACATAAATTCTCAATTATTTGTGCTTTTTCTTGCCATTTCCACCATATAAATACCAAATTATTTGTGTTTTTTCTTGCCATTTCCATCACATAAATTCTAAATTATTTGTGCTTTTTCTTCCCACTTCCATCACATAAATTCTCAATTATTTCTGCTTTTTTTTGCCACTTCCTTTATTTAAATTCTAAATTATTTATGCTTCTTTTTGCCACTTCCTTCATTTAAATTCTCAATTATTTGTGCTTTTTTTTGCCACTTCCATCACATAAATTCTCAATTTTCTTCCCATTTCCATCACGTAAATTCTCAATTATTTGTGCTTTTTTTTTGCCATTTCCACCACATAAATACCAAATTATTTGTGTTTTTTTTTTGCCATTTCCACCACATAAATTCTCAATTATTTGTGCTTTTTTTTCCCACTTTCATCACATAAATACCAAATTATTTGTGCTTTTTCTTGCATATAAATTCTCAATTATTTGTGTTTGTTCTTGCCATTTCCATCATATAAATTCCCGATTATTTTTGCTTTTTTTTGCCATTTCCATCACATAAATTCTCAATTATTTCTTCTTTCACCTTGGCTTTCCTTTCCCAACCTTTCATTAATTTATTTCTTTGCTTTCTCCATCATTTCCTTGCTGACCTCCAGGCTGTTTCCTCCATTTTTAACATTCCCCATTTATTGAATATTCTGAATTTTGTGATTCCTCCATTTGAAACCTTCCCCATTTATTGAATATTCAGAATTTTGTGATTCCTCCATTTTTAACATTCCATTTATTGAATATTCAGAATTTTGTGATTCCTCCATTTTTAACATTCCCCATTTATTGAATATTCAGAATTTTGTGATTCCTCCATTTTTAACATTCCCCATTTATTGAATATTCAGAATTTTGTGATTCCTCCATTTCAAACCTTCCCCATTTATTGAATATTC